TCCAAAAGCTGTCATCTTCAATGTTCTGTAAAAGCCGTCATATAAAATATTTCACATTCTTTCTGATTAAAAGTAAATAAATGAAAGCTAATATCCTTCGTTGGAGAAAAACTTTTCATCGGAGTTCTAGTGACCACACTAAAAAGCGGGACTTGAGGCTACCGCCCCACACTGTCGGTTTTTTAATACATCATTCTAGTTCGAGTCAGTATTTATCTGTGCAGTAAACTAACTCGCGATTCTACACTCTACTACATCAACCAGTGCATGTCACACAGCTGTTCTCAGTTTCACTTGGAGTTTAACTCCGCATGCATGAACAATTTTTTACTGAGTATACAACTCTTACAAAATCAATCTTTTGCTCGAGTTAACAAGCTTAAACCAAGGAGACAAATATGTATTATTTCTTTCTTCTTAGGTTTTTTCTTAAGACCACTCCCAAATTTCAACATATCTCATAATTGTTATCTAAGCCAGCTTCTCATGTGATCTGTTAAATGGGTTCTTGTTCAGCCCGATACACGTTCTTCGACCTTGACAGTCTCATTTTCACTTGACGACAGTGTAGTTCAAATCGTCCATCGTCGCTTACTCTTAGTATGGGAACTGGAGCAGACACAGTGGAATGGGTAGGAGACGAAGAGTTCTGCCCAACTGACGAGATTGCCAAGGTCGAAACATGTGTATCGGGCTGTACAAGAGTCATTTTAACAGACCACATGACAAGTTAGCTCAGATAACAATTATGAGAAAGGAGACAAACTCATCCGGCTGCATTCAGTGCATTGTCGGCGTTGCTCTTACCGATCTGTGTGCAGCAAGTACTGTAGTTAGTCGGTCGGTCAACATCGCTAACAGGACGACCCGTGAACGCTATTCGTAGAGGCGAGACATGTGAAACCAACCACTTGCTACCATCAGCAGAAAGCACTTGGAACGCCAAGCAGCGATGACCACCAGTCTCTGGAAAGCAGGCGACAAACAACAGTTTTCACAGATGTCCTTATCTGTGACATCGTGTGAACTAAATCAAAAATATATTTTCAACAAAATGATACATGAATCATAAATATTTATCATTTGATTCTCAACCTTATACGAAAATTTCAGGTCTAAGTATTATCGAAATTTTCGATGGTGATTCTAGGGCGCTCATTCCTTGCAGCTGAAGAACGTCTTTTGCTTTTTACGTTTTTGCGCTTTAAGCTATTTTGGCTCATACGATGGTATCACTTAGAACATTCAAGACACCTACTTGAATACGTTCATTTTCTTGCATTCATAACACAGATCTTCAAATTTCTGGATGCGGTGCCGATCCAAATGGATTAAAAAATTGAGGAATGCTGTGCGTAGTGGAACAAGCATTGTATCCACGATGAGCGATTTTACTTACTACTATGTATACCAGCCCTCGCTTCAAAAGGTATAAAAATGAGGAGGTGATACAGTAGAGCGCGTGTGACGCAGTAGTTAGTATGCCCTGCGACACAAACGAGCCACCACTTGATAGTCGATGGTTCGATCCCTTGTTCGAGGATTTATGCAATTAGGCCTTCCATCCCTCATGGAAAAAGGGTCTATAAAAAGGAATTAGAATTGTTTGGGAAATAGCAGCACTGACGTTATCTCTCGGTAGGTCACCGCAAGTCGTTGTAAATGAGCACATATGCATGTAATCACCCTAAACGAAGCTGATATTTGAGGGCTATTCTGTGGTCCATTCCTCAGAGACTAATCAACACCGAGAAAAAAATACACCGACTAAAATAACATCACATAGAAAAAAGGCATGTCACTTTACCATAAAGTTTGACCCGTATCAGACTTTGGTTTACTTCTCGTGTTCCAATGGTGGATCGTGGTGCTCACAAGAGGAATTCCCATTCAAAGTTCTTGGTTAGTTTTGACAATCGTTCCGCACTTTACAATGTGAAGAATGTTCACATTAACCAGCCACAAAGTTTTGGTGAATGTGAACGGGTAGAATGAGGTTGTTGCACTTATGAAATATGGAGTTGTTTTTGAATTCTCTGCGAATAAGATAGTAGTTTAGATCTTCTCATGATTAATATATGTTTTTGCGCTTCCTTTATAATTGTTGGGCAACGATTGAAGCAGTTGCAGAGTTCATACACTCTTCATCTTGAGTACATAATCGAATGTCATGATCTCTGTTCTACAGCATTTGCTCTGATGTCCTAACAATCTCGTTGAACGATAAGTTTGGAAATGTTTCATTTAGCATACTAAGTTGGACACTAATGGACTGTTTCAATGGCGATAATCTTGTCAAAAAGAAGGAGAAGAGGACGTATATCTATTTCGATGACATGGTGGACAAATAGCGGACGGAGAATCGACCAGAAAGCAGTATATGCTGCACTTGGGAATATAAACGGAGGCCTTTCTAAAGCAGTTTATTCACTTGTACGTATAGACTATATGTGCTTGATGTGCTCACATATCTAACAAAATTCACTAAATGCTCAAAATTATGCAGCGCAATTGCAGGATTTTTTTTATCTCTTACTAGACTTCAGTAAGCACCAAAGTGTAGAAGAATTCATAAAAAGTGGAGCATGCGTACTACAGAAAGGCATCGCTGCTTACATATGATTAGTACAAAAAATGAATTGCCTAGCGAAAAGTGCAAAAAGGAGAGCACGACTTTGAGCCACTTTGGCTGAAGTGTGCCCACATCGTTCGTCTGCCTGCATGAGCGATCGAAAAATCAGGCATCGGCACCAATTTGTGAATTTTTTGTGGAAGAGTGGCCAAGATTAAGTTTGCGCTGGACGCAGAGTTTTTCCTGATTATGCTTATAATTCGATACATTAACTTCCGCTTCTAGTGGAAATAGCTCGTGAAACTATCGGAAAATCATGCATGTCCATATTTCAGTTGACGATGTACGAAAAGGATGTGGTTTTTATTTTCTTCGTAAAGCCCGTGACCTGTGATCGCTTGGCGGACTGGGTGCGGGATCAATCCGCATCGCCTTGCATTTTACAGTAATCAATAACAAACGCCCTACATGGGTTCCAGTATAGATATCCTCGAGAGTCCAACGAGATCTGCTCAGCCAGTTTTCTGCATTTTTCTGAAGAGACAGATCTCTAACTGAGCAAGGGCCGCGAGGAGACCAGTGGATATCAGAGCACTGGAACACGTGCAGTGAAAAAAAAAGTCTGATACGGATCAAATCTTATGGCAAATTGACATGCGTTTCTTCTACATGATGTTCATTTAGTCGATATACTTTTTTATCGATGTTGACTAGTCTCTGAGCAATGCTTCACACATTCGTCTTCACATTTCAGCTTCGTTTAAGATGATTACATGCATATCTGCCTCTTTACAACGACTTTCGGTGTCCTTCCGATAGATCATGTCAGTGCTGCTATTCTCCCAAACGATTCCGATTCGTTCTTATAAGGTCCTTATCCATGAGGATTGGAAGGCCAGATGACCTTTGAGCGAGGGATCAAACTATCGACCATCGATTGGTTGGCCGTTTGTGTCGTAGGGCATCCTAACTACTGCATCACACCCGCTCTATTCTATCACTTCCCTATTTTCATACCTTTTGATGCGGGGGCTGCTATACGTAGTGGTAAGTAAAGTCTCTCATTGCGAGTACAATGTTTGTTTGACTACGCACCGCAATCCTCAACCTTCTATCCATCTGGATCGGCACCGCATCCAAAAATTGAAGATTTACTTTATGAATGCAAGAAAATGAAGCACTCAGGTAAAAGTACTGCCAAAACAGCTTAAAGTGCAAAAACGTAAAGAGCAAGAAACGTTGCCCGGCTGCATGGAATGAGCGCCTCAGAGTCACCATCGAAAATTTTATACGTATACATGAAATTTTCGTATGAGGGTGAGAATCAAATCAGTAAGTATAATAGCTCAGGTATTACTTTGTTGGAAATATATTCCTGACTTTCGTCACACGATATAGTAAATAAAGTCATCTGTGACAACTGTTGCTTGTCGGTTGTTTTAACCTGGTAACTATCCTGCTAAAATTATTCACTTCCTGCTAAAATTCGGATTATAATCCTGCTAAAACAATTCACTTCACTTTCCACATCGTCATGCAACCTACATTTCGGTCGTGAAGTTTGTGTAGCCATTCCATAGCTTGTATCTCAAGAAAATTGAAACGTATTTTTTCAAATGGCTTCATTGTCGATCTGTTACAGCAAGTAGAAAATTATGTCTCTCATTAAAACATTTCTCACTAAAAAAGCTTTTCCTCTGGACTTTCAGCAACAAGTCGACAGCTTAAATCTCGACAAACTCGAAAATACAATTGTTTTGTGAAAAGACGTCTTATTACGCTGTAATAGACGAAAGAAGATTGAGTTTTATAAATTTGAATCATTTTCGTTCTGCTCACCTATATTCTGTCCTCTGAGAAAAACGCACTCTCCGGATATGAGATATTTCAGCAAATAGCTGTAGCATTATGGAACTTGTATTCAAACATGTTTAATTTAATGATATCGTCTGTCTTTGTGCAACTGATACAGTTCTAGATCGATAATCTTCATCCCAGGCCATTGACATTCTCGCACGACACATTTTAAATGCGAAAATCTATCACAAATCATTGCATTTGGCCGCCTATTGCGGTGTTATGATGTTACAATGAACCTAATGATATAGAAAGGTGTGCCGAAAATGTTTGCGTCAGCTGGCACTGAACCCAAGTATCACTCTCTTGGGGAGCGCGTGCTGAACCGTTGCGCTACCTATGCTCGTTTCGCACTCCTCTCTTTCTAAGCTACAACGCGTTATCTGTTAACAGCCAACCGTCTACGGTCTAACGTGAGCAGCCACTTATCGACATTGATAGATAAATAAATAAACCCAATAATCTGTTAACATAAGTGTGCACAATGTCGATAGTGACTACCCACGACACATTGTTAACGGTTGGCTGTTGACAGTTAACGCATCGTAGTGTAGAAAGGTGCGCAAAGCGAGCGTCAGTAGTGCAACGGTTCAGCACGCGCTCCCGATAAGAGTGAAATCTTTGTTCAATTCCCAGCAGACGCAAACGTTTTTGCACACCACTCTAGATCACTGAGAAAATTTCATAGGTAAATTGGTGTTAATGGGAGACATACATATTATTAGACGATGGAATTTCACAGAAGGGACTTTGGCAAGGATAGATCTGGCGAAAAAAGCCCACGTGTTGAATACTTTTTACGTTTTACCAAAAATAAATCCTCCGGAAGGTAACGAATTTCCAACTGTTGGATTTTTTTCTTACAATTTTCTTCCGAAGGTTTGATGAATACAGATTTTCATGATAAGCTTGATTCCAGTATTTTCATAAGACGTTCTACTGACGGAGAGATTATTCTATACACTTTATCGTCATGAAAGGAGAGAATATCAGTGTAGGGCTTTCTTTGAGCGAAGTTTTAGTTGAGAAAGTTCAGTAGTCCTAAAAACTGCTACAAGCCATTTCGATGAGATAGCAACGCATTTCAAACTTTGTTCTTCACAGTCCTTTGGCAGC